ATATTAATACCGAAAATTGGGTAAACGTGAAAAAAAATCTCAAATGATTTTATATAATATAAAAATCAGTCAAAAACCAATACAAAGTGGTTGTTGTTCACGTTTCAACAAAATCTTAATTTCCAAAATTTAATATAATTGCACATATGCTGATATCTCCTCATCTCTCCTAAAATTAATTATTAAATCATAGTTTAATAAATAATAAAACATCTAAATATAAAATCATAAAATTAGAAATATTAAAAATCTAAATCGTCAAACCAAAGATGAATCACACTAATGAAAATAGATATAGCATATAGATGTTCAGCCAAAGATGACTCCACAAATTGATAAATATGAATAAAAATAATACATATTTGCATGAATACGAGGAGACAATAGTACTGTCGGGCCGTCACGTGCTTAGAATGCCTCAAATGTCGTATATATAAAATTAAAATGATTCGTGGTAATAAATTAATTTAAAATAGAAATTTCATACAACTAAATCCGTGATATTAGAAATTAAATTGAAATGCGAATAAAGCTTGACTAATCAGAAAAAAATAAAAAATAAATTACAACACTCATCAACTTATAAGTGGTTTATGTTTATCTTTAGATGAACATTATTAAAAGAATTAAAGATAAATAAAAATAGAGAGAGAGAGAGAGAGAGAGAGAGAGAGAACTACATTATCTTCTAGCATAATAAAAAATTTCGTCAAACACCAAAACAACTCTTTTTTTTTTTTTGTAGCATTTGTCTCAAACGGATCGACTTCTCCAAAACTCTAATGCCTAATATGAATTATTAATTATCTAGACTATTTTCGAGTTTTGAGAAACTCTAGCTCATAACAAATTGTTTTGATCGACAACCGTTTTTATCTTTAGCCCACAACAAATTGATATCGTTGACAACCGTTTTTATCTATAGCCCTAGATCTCCCCTCTCATTTATTTACATTAATTATTAATTATAAAAATAACCATCTCCCAATTCCTTTCACGTGCTCTCAATTGCCTGGAAATTAAAAAACGTAGCCTCCAAGACGCTCCCCGTCTTTTTTCATTGCATGTTCTCTCTGTACATTGAAATTTTTACTCTGTTAATGTTGTGTGTGGATGGTTTATAATTTCAACATATTATAATGTTACAATAATTTATTTAGTTTCATATGATAACTAGTGAGAAGCACGTGCAAGGCACGTGGCATGATATAGTTGACTACGTAATAGCGTGTATAAAAAAATAATTACGTCAAGCATTAGTTACATAAAATTTTCTTATAAGTTGCTAAATGTTTCGAGACAACATTGGAAAATGCGGTTCATATGAACAATAAAAGAAGACCCCACTCAAAAAAACAAAAAGAACATGCATGTACTATTCATATGAACTGATGAACAGTACAAATGAAAACCAAAGTGACAAACAAACACACTCTTAAAAAAAAGAAAAAAAAATCTCATCTCTCCATGCTACAAGGAGAGAATTCTCCTTCCTGCAAGGAGAATATTTTCTCCATTCTCAAAATGGAGAGAATCTTTCCATTCTGAGAATCCATGCCACATTTTTTTTTATTTAGTCTCATCTTTATATTTTTTTATTCAATCAATGTAAACATGCTACTATTTTACTTTCGCATTTTCACACGCAAACGTAAAGTACAAAAAATGTAGACGAAAGAAATGGCGAAGCTGAAGACAAAAAGATAGCACTCTGACAAATATAGCTTCATTTCTCACGCAAACATCTAAAGTACAAAAAAAGTCAAACAAATCATAATCGTTTCTTAGAAAAGAGAAATAATAAAGAATCAAACAAACAAAATAAATACAGCTCGAGTATATGTCTGGATCATTTTGAGACTTTAGTGTTCGAATTGAGATTTTGTTGAAAGTTTGGTGATCGCAGATAAAATTTACCCTAACATGTTCAACTTTATGAAATAAAGTTTTATTTCTCAATTTGGATTGATTTCCATAACTGTGACAAATTTCTACGAGGACCATGTAAAGATTTATGAAAAATTAGATGATTTGTATGATTGGAGATTGATAGTAAAGCTTTAATAAAAGATTAAGAATCAATTCATTTATTTTGAAAAGTTGCAGATCAATTTACTACTCGATTAATTGGTCAAGGACAACTAAGTAAGGGCAAATGATTCCTTAAATCCAAAAATGCAGATAAGTGACACATGTTGTGGACCCAAAAGTTCACTAAATGTGGACCCATTTCTACCTGAAA